AAAAAACTTACCAAAATTGGTGAATTTTTGTGCAGCCATTTTAATATTGAAGATGGAAGAAGATACACAACATTTTTGGTGTATCATACTTTATTATTTCAAGAAAGGTAAAATTGCAACTAAAACACACACAAAAAACTTGTGCAGTGTATGGAGAAGGTGCTGTGATTGATCAAATGTGTCAAAAGTGGTGTGCTAAGTTTCTCAGTACTATTGACACTTTGGCCAAATAATTCTTTGCTGTGGGGTGTCTTATGTATTGGAAGATGTGTAGCAACACCCCTGGCCTCTGCCCACTGGAAGCCAGTGAGTAGCAGGAGACAGCTGACATACTCAAAAGATCCAAATCAATAAAATTATTGGTGAAAATGAAAAATGTATCTTTGTTTTATGGAAAACAATCCAAATGGACTTTTTGGCCAACCAAATATATGTCATTATATGATGGTTAAAAGTATCTTATTTTATCCCTCTAAGATAATCAGGACCTAGAGAGAAAACTATTCATATTAATCAAAAGTATTGCCCTGGTTGCCGTGGCTCAGTGCATTGAGTGGTGGCCTGCTAACCGAAAGGTTACCGGTTGGATTCCCAAGCAAGGGCACATGTCTGGTTTGTGGGGCCAGGTCCCCAGTTGGGGGCATGCAAGAGACAATCGATGTATCTCTCACACATGGATGTTTCCCTTTCTCCCTCTCTTCCTTCCCCTCTCTCTAAACACAAATAAATAAAATCTTTTTTAAAAGTATGTATTACAGAGACTTAGAAGAAAAATATGTAATAAAATACCATTTTCTATGAAAGGCACTATTACCAGCCAGTAGCAATAGGAGGCATAAAAATTATCTTTGAATAATTAAAAGTTCTTGATATGGAAACCAAAATTGAAAGTCATACCTATAAATAAACAGAATACTGTATCAGAGATTTACTTCTAAATCTTCACTTATCACTTGCCAGCAAATGTCCAAAAGAAACAACCAAACAGGTCTTAAATTACCAAAGTCTGAGAGTCTAGACCAAATGAATGTGAAACAGTTTATCCTCCCTGAACTAGGGCAATGATAGCATAGTATTCTTAATAGCAATAGCAAGAAAATTTTATTCCCAATTGGATTTTTGATGATCAGACTTTTTCTATCTCATCTGAATCTGCAACATGAAGGAGTACACAGATTACCAAGTTCTTTTCCCACTATATAAAATTATCTATTTAGTGTCTTTTCCTTCTGTTTTAAATAGATGCCATCTAGAGAGTTTCCTCTCTAAACTCTCCCTTGATTCTTTCATCTCCTTATATAGACTGAACTAGTACATGTTTTGTATTATGACCTACACCCATGTTTAATATATGCCTAGCACTGCATTCTCATGAACTACAAACCCACATTTCCCAAAGCCTCTGGGCATTTCCAGTGTTTGGCAAGCATATAAAAAAACATATTCAACATATTCAAACTGATATATTATGCACCCCCTTTCCCATATTAATAATAAGTACCACCATTGCCATCATCCACACTTAAAATGAATATGGCTTTGCCCTGATGGGTGCAGCTCAGTTGGCTGGACATCCTCCCACAAAGCAAAAGGTCACCAGTTCCATCACGTCCCTGTCAGGGATGAGTGAGAAACAACTAATGGATGTTTCTCTCTCACATGGATATTTCTCTCCCTTTCTCCTGCCCTTTCCCTCTCTCTAAAAATAAATAAACAAAAATATTTTAAAAATAAATAAACCTAGCCTTCAGCTTCCACCTCCTCCAAACCTTCCCCAACCCCTCCTACTAAATCATCTCAATGCCACCATTGCACTGCCCAGTGTTTACACTGCAGTCCACCCTTGAGCAACGTGGAGGTTAGGAGCACCAACAACCCCCCCACCCCACAAGTCAAAAACCCACATGTAACTTTTGATTTCCCCAAAACTTAACAGCCTACTGTTGACCAGAAGCCTCACCAATAACATAAACAGGCGATCAACATACAGGGTGGGGCAAAAGTAGGTTTACAGTTGTGAGTACACAAAACTGAGTTTATTCTTCTATTATTATTTATTGTATTATCTTCCACACAACTGTAAAATTGCTTTTGCCCACCCTGTATATTTTATATGTTTTGTGTATTATATGCTGTATTCTAGCAATAAAGCAAGAGAAAATGTTAAGAAAATTTACATTTACAGTACTATACATATTTAATGAAAAAAATAAATCCACATATAAACTGTCCCATTCAGTTCCAACCCACATTTTTCAAGGGTCAACTCTATATATTGAAAGTCAGTTTTATACAACAAAAAATTCTACACACTACAGTGTTAGACCTTAGTAGTTTCCCATTACCTCCCAAATGTTGAACTCCTACTTAAAGCATTTAAACAAGTTCCAGCCCCAAATTAAATTTCAAACCTCACCTTTCAGTTCCCAAAATGAACCTGATATTCTAAGTAATCTGGTATTCTAACTTTTCTCTCAGTACACCATGAACTGTTCCCTCCTCCACACTTGTGCTCACATCATTCTCTTTATTTGAAAAGCCTTCTTCATCCACCCATTCCCAACACCTAAATTTTTCTCTTAGAAAAAAGTCTTACCCTCTGCAATGCTGAACTCAGGTCATCAGTTTACCGGGAGACAACATGATGTAGTGGAAACACACAGGCTTTGGCACCAGGCAGATCTGGATTCAAATCAGGGCTCTGCTATCTGCTAGCTACATAGTCCCCAACTAGCAGAGCCTGGTGGTCACTTACTGCTCAACAAGTAACAGCTTCAGACATAACTTTAGAAGTATTACTATACCTCCACCACTCTCCATAATTACTCCAGCTAAAAATGAACCCATTTTTCCTTTCATACAACTCCATACTCTAGGTCAAACCTACGTATTTACATGTATTTCTTTAAGTTATAAATTTTTATGCAAATACCTTACATCCCCTTCTAGATTTCAGATTCCTCAAGACCAAAGACTTAATCATTGTATCCTACAAAGCCTATTAATGCTTTTCATGAAGCACATACCACCTCCGATTAGAAAAACTGTTTAGTATGTTTAAACAATATAATTCATCTCTTCATAATTTCTGACACTCCATAGAAAATTACTGCCCAAACATGAATCTTAGTTGCTAGGGCTGTATCTTTATTTGCTCCCACATGTTTGTCTAACATAGCAAATGTTCAATTTGAATTGACCTGAAGAACATAATTTACAATGCAAATGTTCAGTATCTATTAAATTGACTTGGACACAGTAAAATGTACAATGCCTAAGGGTATCTGGTTTTCCCCAAGTATCTTTTTTTACTGTTATAATTTTGAAATACATCCCTTCAAAAGACATTAACTACCACCAGTATGGATCCATAACCATATCTAACTTGACTCCTTTTCCAGTTTCTCCCCATTACAATATTCTAACTGTATGCTCTAAACAATTAACCACTCCAAATGGCTAAGAATCTACAGTTTCTATCTGAATGTAAATGTAGAGCCACTAACCTTCCACCCACAATCTTTTCCAGGAACTTAAAAATCATCCACCATTTGCCCGAAGATCAAAAAACCCTGAAATAAATTTACTTTTGCATAGGAGAGCTCACAAAACTTGTCACTCCAGTCTATTTTTCCCTAATTCATATTACCTCCCCAGTCAGTGGGAGGAGAGAAAATGAGATAAGTACTTAAGTAACGTCAGTATAAATCCTAATATATAAGGGGGAAAGTGTCACATGCATCACAAAGGTAGTTTGTGTACACTTCACACTGCAAAAACACTGGTCATCTGCTTATAGTCATAAACTACAATAACTACATTCTCTTATGATCATAATTGAAAAATTACTATTAAGTGTGGAAAATCCTCATCTCCTACAAAAGTTTCAGCAGCATTTATTACCTAAAATCTGTTCGTTAAAAATGCTTACATTGCTTTCTCGTTTAGGAAATTCTCAACTTATCCAAGCTAAACACTTAAGTTTAAAAAAAAGAAAATATTAAAAAAAAATCACTCCTGCCCACCCGTGTGAACTGTGCACTGCTGTTAACAGTATAAGGAATCTCAGAAGTTACCGAGAAAAACTCTTTAAAAGTGAAGGAAAAAGACAGTTCCAAAAAAGGAGGTATAAAAATTTCAAGGAAGAGGTGTAACAATTCTCGCACCCTCTGCAATCCATTTGTACAACAACTGCAGACTGAACTCACCATACAACGGTGACTTCAAATAGCCACAGAAATTAGGAATACAGATTAGAGAATAGCATCATTTTTACGTCTGCAAGAAAATAAAGGAAACTTGTCTGAACCGATTCTCCTCAACTTGTTCATTTTAAATGCCTTAAACAATTGCTTGAGCAAGCTTTCCAGTCACTAAAGATTACGGGAGGCACACTGGTGCCACAGACCTATCCACAACCGGTCCCAAGCGCAGTCCAAACCGATCCGGGCAACCCATAGGCGCGTCTGGACGAAAAGCTTTGCAAAAGATCCCGGGCTTCTACACACGCCTTGCCGCACCCTGGGATTGAGGAGGCAACACCTCTGGGACCCGGGCTAATTACGGAGCCCGAATGCAAACCCAGAGGACAAAAAAAGTCGGGAAGTGGATCCCAAGATTGAATCTGATGTCCAGGTTCCCAGCCCCACCCAGGTCGCACACAAAAAAAAAAACAAATCTGAGAGACAGCGCGAACATTTGAGGGAGCAGAAAAGAGGGGATCGGAAGGACCGCGGCCCAGCGCAGCTCCACTCTCCAGTCCCAAAAGCAACAACAGCTCAGTGAACCCACTCCCCGGCTCCGCCCCGCCCACCCCACGGCCAGTTCCCTCCTGCCCCGGGAGTTCGGCAAAGACGGGGCTGTCGACAACCCGCTTCCCGGAACCCCGACAGTCCAGCCCGCAGCTAGGAGCCCACAGTCCGTAGCAGGCAGCTGGGGCCCCAGAGCGCCAACCCCGACAGGGCCCACAGCCGTCCCAGGCTGTTCCCCAGGCCACTCACTGTTGGCCCGGGCGCTGGGAAGGGTCAGGGCGCAGGTCGGTGGGCACCGGTCCCCAGGTTCCGATCCAGGAAGGAGCCCCTACTCGGAGGCGGTAGAGCCTCCGCCGCTGTGCCTACAGGCCTCTCTCTGGCCCAAACCTTGGAAAAGCACTTCCGGGGGAGCGGGAGAGGGATGGGTTTTGGCACCGGAACTGCTCGCGGGCTGGAGCTTCCAAAGCCTCCGGGGCGGGGCGGGGCCTTTCCCTCCTGGCGCCGGCAAATCCGCCCCCGGACTCCCTGAGAATCCTTTCTGCCCCGTGGCACCTCTGTTCCCCAGACTACTGCTGCCCTTGGGGTTGTTCCAATCCAGCCACCTAATTTTACATAGGAGGACATCGATGCTCGGAAAATTTAGATGACAGGGGTCTACAGCATGCACCCAGCCTCCCGTCTCTCCAGTATTTATTCCATTCTGCCTCCTTTGAAAATAGTAATAGTTAACGTATACTGAAGGTTTACAACCTGTCAGGCACCCTTTTAAGAGCTTCAGGTGCTTAACTCAGTTAATGAATCCCCAAGACCCTTGAGATTGGTACTGTTATGTACGCCTTGCAGAAGAGGAAAGCAGTCAAAGATGCCAAACTCAATACCATAAACATTGGCTCTTGATTTTAACTTGTGTTGTGTGTAAAAAATCTCATCTACTTCTAACATTTTTAAATTCTTTAAGTGCAAGGACCAAATTATATTTCTATATTCCATCATCACTTGGAAATTCAACAGAGGCCAAGAACCTAGGTCCTGTTACTTTTACTTATTGCCTGGGTCCTGTTATTTTTTTTCACCCCTGGCAAGTTGCTTGACCTCTCTAAACTAAGCCTCAGTTTCCTCATTTGTAATATCTGATATGTGTATGTCTCCGTGTGTGTACACATGTATAATAATCTCTGAATTGTAGGAATTTAAAGTGAAAATGTGTGATAAACACTTCAGTGTAGCAAGTACCAACGCAGGACTGAATAAAAGCAGGATTCTCATATCTCATCATCAGTAGGAACAATTTCTCTTCATAGAGTTACTGTAACAGGGAGTAATTTGGAAAACTTTGGATTGGCATTAAACCACAGAAGAAGGTTAATTAAGGAAATAAAAGAAGAGTAGAGATTTTTGTAATGGGAAAAATGAAGGTAGGTGAGCCAAAGAATGTCCTGTGGCCAGCCTGGATACTTGTGACACTGTGAACCAAGACAGCATGAGGACCCACAGTCAGCTGCCAGACAGGGAATGAAGGCGGGGGGCGGGGGCGGAAGGGATTCCTCCCCTACAAAATCAAGAAGGCATCAAACATCTGAGGCAGATTCTGTATCTCAGGCCACATACAGGGGAAATAAAGCCTCTTAGCATGCATACTATCTGCAAAACAAATTTACAAGCATCTGTGGGGGAGGAAGATTCTTTTTTTAATTTTCTACTTTAAAAGGCAGGGGAAATGGAAATGGTTTACAACCCATTATTATGAATTTAAGGTACAAACTATGCCTTTGCTATTGGCTTTATTTACAGCGGCGTCTTGTTTATTTTATTTTTGTGATCACAGAAGTGTTTGTAAATACTTTCCCAATGCCCAAATTTAAGCAGCCTTTCATGCCTTGGAGTGTAAAGGAATAAAAAACAGAGCCTGGGTTGGCAGAACTCACTAACTTCTCTTTCCATCAAGAGCTTAGAGGAAGAGTGAGAGGAATCCTAAATCACAGACGTTCTCAGACTTCCTGAGAGGCACAGAAATTCTTGAGGGTTATCATTGAACATGGTCATCTAACTAGTAAATGGTGCAGTCAGAATCTGAATGTGGGTCTGTCTCCTCAGAAGCTTTTCACCACTCTGCCAGTGGCTCTCCAACTTGAGAGTGCCTCAGAATCACCTGGAGGTCTTGGTAAAACACTGATTGCTGAGCTCCAACACCAGAATTATAGTTAATCATGTTAGTGTTTCTCTGAGGTCTAGTCCCTGGGCTACCAGCATCACCATCATCTGTGAATCTGTTACAAATGCAAATAATTACACCCCACTCCAGACCTGTGAATCAGAAACTCTGGGGTGGGTCCCAGAAATCTGTTTTAAACAGGCCTTCCAGGTGATTCTGGTACACTCTCAAGGCTTAGAACCTTTGTACTCTATCTACTCTCTTGTCTTCCACATATTCCTCTTTTTTTCTAGTTGCCTCCAACAGGAATAAGTCTACAGAAACACAGTTCTTCCCATTGAATTAAATGATGTATTGAAACATTTTTATTCATGTCTTGTTGTCAGTGGGAGATGAGGCTAGAAAAAAATTAGTACTAATGTGAGATTCTTTTTTTATTACTTTAAATTTGTACTGAAATTTAACCAGATAACCCTGGGTTGGGGGGTGGAACTAATCTTATTGGAGAACTATTCTGTGCCAGGGCTTTATGTGCATTTTCTAAAATAATCTTCACTGCACTACTATGAAGTTTTATGGTCTTAATTTTACAGAAGAGAAAAACAGGGACTTAGATGAAATAATTGACTTAAGGCCACATTTTTATTAAGGGGCAGAAATCAGGGTTGTTCAAACAAAGATCCTTCTAATTCCAAAACTCATGATCTTTCCACTTCATGGCAGAAGCTTGGAGAACCAAATTCCTGTGCGGGCTCCACCACCCCAACTATGTAACACTGAGTAAGTGATTTAATCTCTATTTCCATTCCTCCATCTATAACTAATGTTATCATAAATCAGCCCCTCCCACACTGGAATGTTAGAACAAATGAGGAAATAAAAGTGTAAGCACTTTGAGCTTTTTGAAGAAAAACAGTTAAAAGGCAAGTTATTGTAGTACTTTATATTTAGCCAAGTGTTGCTATGTGAGCCTGAGCGTTGCACCTTTCCTGGTTATCTCCTAATTCACGCAGAAGAGGTGTGAAGGCTCTACTTGATGCCAACAAAACAGTTGTTTGACTTCATTTGTCAGTTAAAGAAAGCTAAAGAAGAGGAAAGATGATTTTGTGTCACTCTTCCAAATTACAGGGAATCCCTCACCAGGTTCATAGTCTCCAGTTTTTGCCAAATTGGGGGGTGGGGGGCATCTTCATCCTACAGCTGTTTCCTGCAAACCTGTCTTCTCTCCATTACAGGCACCTCTCCATCCTCCTGCCTCTACCCACTAGGTAAAGACTTCAAATTCCTGTTACTCGCCCCCCCCCTTACTTTATTATGTAAAGAATTTAGCTCTCAATCCTCCTCTCAGGCCAGACTCCAGGCCTGTGTTTATTGCCAGAACAGCCCAGTTGTACAATTCCAAGGGGCACTGTTCACAAAGAATACAACCTGAATGGGGCTCGAGGGGGTGCCAATTGCAGAGGCTACAATAGGAATGGTCCCTCAACTGTGCAAGGCTGTGGCTCTTTCTATGCATAGCTCCCACCCCCTAAATCCACTAAGGTGTTTTGTTAAACAAAAAAGCCATCTACTTGGGTACCACCATTTGCCAAGCTTTCAAATAATGAGGTTCTTTGTTTTTAGGGTTTTTTTATAGTGGGCCTGATCAAATACTTAAACCACCAGCAGATGTGGTATTTTTCACTCTCTCCTGTGTCATTATTGCCTGTCTCCCCACTAGACTTGTGAGTTTTGTGAAGATTGTCATGTTTTGTCTTCCCTACCTTGTATCTGGGCCTTGGCACAAGTGCTTGGAAAGCATTTGCTGCTATGAATGACAGCACGGAGTACTCCTATGTAGGTACTAGTATAATTGGCAGAGATTTGACAAATGGCCCTCGAGTGTGTTGTTGGACCCACAGAGTTTCGTACCAAAAAATATATTAAGCCAAAATTTTAAACTGAGAAATGCCACATTAAAAAAGTAATCCCAGTTTCTGGAGTCCCTTGAAAATATAGACACTGGCCAACTGGGCATGCATCCCACAAGGCATCAGTGTCTTTAGCTCAAATGCGGCAGCTTTATTTTTTTATTTCTTAATTTTTTTTTAAAGAGAGGAAGGGAAGGAGAAACATCCATCGATAAGTGCCCTGACCCAGGATCAAACTCACATCCTAGGTATGTGCCCTGATTGGGAATCTGACCCACTACCTTTTGGGTGTACTAGATGATGCTCCAACCAACAGACCCAAATCTGCCTGGGCCCTTGGTTGATTTTTTTTTTTAAGTCCTCTCCCAAGGATACATGGATATATCCATTGATTTGAGAGAGATAGAGAGACAGAAAGTCAGAGGCAGAGACAAAGACAGAGACAGAGATATCAACTGGATGCCTCCCATATACATACTGACCAGGACTGAACTTGCAACCTAGGGACATGCCCTGATGGGAGATTGAACACACAAAACCTTGGTGTTTACAGATGATGCTCCAAGCAACTGAACTACCTGGCCGGGGCTCAAGTGCAGCAGTTGTATTCAAGCTGTACAGTGAGTTGGTCTCTCTTGCCTGTGAAATCTTCATGATAGACACTGAGTTTGGAACCACTGATATGTATGATCATATGGATGTTTTCGAGAAACAAGTATAAAACACGTGCTGATAACTATTTATTCCAATGTATTCTGAAGTAATTTTAATTTTTTTCTGGGGTATAAAATTGTGTGGCACCACACTGTACCATTTCTAAACAAGTTAGGCAAGGGCAGACATCTAATTATTCCAATATAAATATCGCTATTACCAACATTTTAATGAAGTTATATCTGGTATTATTTGTCAACTGCCTTGGAAATACAAAGGACAAATAATAGCAAACACTTGAATACATGTCTTAATAACTGACCTTATGGAGTGTGATCGTTTTTTTATCTTCTTCTGGATGGAGAAACATAAGCACAGCTAGTTCAGGTAATTAACAAGTAATATAGCCAGGATTAGAACCCAGGTAGTCTGTCTCTACAGGCATGGTTTTAACCACTAAATTAATACTTATTGAGCCTTTCCCATGCGCTACAGTCATGACTGCCTTCCAACTGAAAAAGACTACCAGAGTTATGAAAGAGTGCATGTATTTCTTCCAGGCCTTTTATAGGGTGCTGCAGTAAACCAAACAGGTCTTTCTCATCTCTCTCCCCATCCCACCCCAAGTCATACTGATGAGCTTATAATCTTCCATTTTGA